TTTTTTTTCTGTTTCAACAGGAGTTAGGAACTTACACTTTTTATGAAAGTAACAAACCCTCTTTCCTCCTTTCAAATACACAGATTGTTAGATGTTCCAGAAATGAGAACGCCTTTCCCTTTCTCCCTCCCTCCCTCACTCCCTCCCTTCTTTCCTTTCTCTTTTCCTTTTTCTCTTTATTCATTTTTCTTCCTTTTGTTCCTTCCTGTCTATACAACAGCTGTTTTCTATTGTGGACTGCTTTCAGAGATAGTGTTTGGGATTTCAGGGTCTCTATTTAAAAGAAAACAGTGCTCTTTTGTTGCTGGTGGGAAAACAGGACCAATTTTTTCACTTTATGCCAATGTCGAACCTCCTTAATTAGAAAAGTCATTTTCATATGAGGACTCATTTATCACACAGTCATTTGCATAGAAAAAGGAAAGGAATCACTGGATGATGAAGAAGGGAGCAGAGTTGCACTAAATTATTTTCAGTCTATAACTGCTTAATATTGGAGAGAGATAAATTCATTTTTGTTATTCCTCTGATAAAATAATGTACTTTGCCATTGACAATGGACCTGTCTATTCCTTCGTGTTTTCAGCTTCAAAAATAGATGAAATACCCCCCCTTAACCTCCCCTGAAGATTATTGAAGGCTTCAGCCTTTTTGATAATTCTCATCATTACTGCTTTGAAATATTTCTTCATTAGTAACCTCTTATTTCACTTTCTATGGAATCTTCCGATCCCTTATTTTTCCCATCTTTCCATTCTTTTCGAAAATAGAATTTCCTTTATTGCTTTATCTATTTTTTTTAAAAAAATTTCCAGCTTTTACAATTACATCTGACAAATAAAATTGTATGATTTAAAGGTGTAGTACGTGATGATTTGATATACAAATAGTTTTTTCCCATCTTTCCATTCTTTTCGAAAATAGAATTTCCTTTATTGCTTTATCTATTTTTTTAAAAAAAATTTCCAGCTTTTACAATTACATCTGACAAATAAAATTGTATGATTTAAAGGTGTAGTACGTGATGATTTGATATACAAATAGTTTGTAAATGATTACCAAAATCGAGTTAGTTAACATATCTGTGACCTCACCTAGTTATCCATTTTTTTGGTTTTGTTTTGTTTTGTGGTGGGACCATTTAAACAAATTTCAAGTGTACAATTCAATAGTGTTAAATATAGTTACCAAAATGCTACATGCTTATGATAAAATTTATTAAAATAGAAAAATAAACACAATAGAAAAATGAATACAAAAATTGAAAATTACGTGGTATTCTATAATCTATAAATACCTGCTGTTAATGTTTTGGTAAATACTCTTTCAGATCTTTTCCTTTATCTCTGTCTTTGTGTATCTATCAATCTGTGTATCTATCTATCTATCTGTCTATCTATCTAATCATCCATCTCTCTGTAACTTGCTAAATTGGTCAGTAATATATCATGAACAGCCTTTTAGGTAATAAATATTTAACTGCATCATGACTTTAAATGACTGCATATAAACCATTAAAAGGATATACCTTAATTAACCTTTCATTAAGGGTCTGAGTTGTTTAAAACTGTTGCCATTATTATGTATTGAGAACATTTGCACTGATTCTTAAATTCTGAAATGAGCTAGTGATGGTATCAGGTAATGGTAGCTATGAAGATAACTCTTATTATTGTACATACGGAAAACTTCCAATTGCAACTTGAATTATATGAATCTTGTTTTTTTTTTTCCCTTCAGAAATATCTTTATACATTTTTGATATTTGTTTAGGGGGAATGCACCATAAGAAAAATAAAGCTTATAGGTAGTAACTGGAAATGTCAGGAATGAAGTTGCTTTTTTTGTTTTGTTTAGTTAACACTAAGAGTAAGGTTTTGTTAAGAGTATAAAGTTGAAATTCGCTGTCTATGATAACCTCAGTCAATCCAGCAGAGTAGAGGAGGAAGGTCTTAGAGCATCACTATTCATCTTTGTGCCTTAGATTTTTTAACTGAGGATCCAGTTCGTTCATTCATTCAACAAAAATGTGTTAATTATCTATCTGGGCCAGGCATGGAGCTGGATACTAGCAACACAAAGATAAATAACCTTTGTTCTGTCCTCCAGGTTTTCATGGTCCACAAGGTGGGAAGGGTGAATAGTGATTGCTGCTTGGGAAACTGTAGACTGTATTAATAAGAATGAGAAATTTTGCTTGCTTTGAGGCCAGTGTGCATCCTTGTTTGGAAATTCTTTTAGGCTCATCACTTATGACATTTTTTTTGAGTACCAAAACGTATCTTGGAGGCCTATACTTCTAGAAAAGGTTGAAAGTGACCTCTTGATGTGCTATTTGGGAGGTGGAGAGGAAAACCAAAAAGAAAAGTGCTGGCTAAGGCTAGTCCTGAGAGTAAAGATGAGATCCCAGCCAACTTCTCCATTTCTTGTCCCTTCTTGAATGTGATTTACATTAGCTGGTGTGCCATCATGGACATAGGAAATAGTTGTCACACCAAGCTAAGCAGTCAAATTCAGCAATCTTATCACATGCTGTGGTGATTTCAGGATTTGGTTAGGAGATATTTTTATATGATTGTTCGAGCACTACAATATATATTCATTCTTACTTATACATACAAAGAACAAGAGAGAAATTCTTCCTGTCCAGAGGTTTTATCCAAGTTTCTCAAACTTTAATGTGCATAAATATCATCTGGAGATGATGTTGTAATGCAGGTTTGTATTCATTTGGTCTGGGGCAGTCTGAGATTCAGCATTTCTAAAACACTCCTAGGTCATACCAGCACTGCTGGTTCATAGATGGCACTTTGAGTATCAAGAACCTAAGAAGTCTTCATGCCAGTGAGGATTTGCCTTTTGTAACTACTTCCATTTGTTTGCAGCTGTAGTGATGGTCCTAAATAGCATGAGTGTCAGCTGGAGTGCCCGGATCCAGATTTTCCTAACCTTTTGCAAGCTCACAGCAATTCTGATAATTATAGTCCCTGGAGTTATGCAGCTAATTAAAGGTATGGACTAAAAAGTAAATGCTTTTTAAAATACGTATCTGCTTATGGTCTCTTCTAACACTAACTTTTGCTTGTACTAGCAGAATCCTTAATTAATGTCTGCTTGTGGAGCTTTAATTCTATACTGTCATCTAATTGATTTGAAAGGCTGCTACATTGGAGGTGCATTGGTATTTACAGTTGAATGTCAGCAAGAGGATTAAGACTGGGCCAAGCAACAAAATAAGGCATCGGTGAATTCTCTAAGTATAAACTGTTTGAAGTGAAAACTCAAAGTGGAAAAAAATCTGTCATTTAATTAAACTACAGATAAATATGTCTTTTTATTTTTACTTTAAAATTGTTCAAAAATAGTAACAAAGGTTAGAGAGAAAAAGCTATCTGGAGAATAATGAAAGATGATCAATAATTCTTTTACTTTCTGGTTGTTATTCCTTTTACCTTGAGAGTGATATCCTCAGAAGAGAAGTTAGATATGGGAACAGCATTCCTAAAAAACAAATATTATATGAGAATAAAAATAGTTGTAAGAACTTAATTTTTATTATTACATTATTTTTAATGTAAAATTTGGATTTCTGAAGAAATGTAACATTTTCTAGGGTTATTTGCCTTATAGAGTTTACTATTTAATAAGAAAAGAAGTTGAGAGGTGATGTTATTTAGAATTTCTTTGTTTTAGAGAGGAAGGCACAGGCCACTGCTTAGACTCAGTGGAAATTGTTGGAAGAGAAAAAGGTCCACATGAGTTATTTAATTAGCAATGGGCATTATAGTAGGAAATAAATAGGAAAGTGAGAAAACAATTGTAAAGGAGTGACGTATACCTTGGGCATGTTAAGTAATAAAATATTTACATTGATATTGACTGTTCCAAGAAAGGGAATTTATAGAGAAATTTAATGACATTTCAGGAGAAGCATTATACAAGGCCAAAAAATAAATAGGAAAGTGAGAAAACAATTGTAAAGGAGTGACGTATACCTTGGGCATGTTAAGTAAATTTACATTGATATTGACTGTTCCAAGAAAGGGAATTTATAGAGAAATTTAATGACATTTCAGGAGAAGCATTATACAAGGCCAAAGAAAAAAAAATGCCAAAGTTCAGCAAAATCATCGCTGTTGGTGGGGGCATTAAACAATAACAAACATTGAAAGATCAGTCACTCTGTAGCTGGGGAAAGGGAGCTGCTGTTGTCCATTTAATATGCCTAGTGGGAGATCTTCGAGCTCTGATGGTGAAATGCTTTCATCAAATCCAGCAACCTCAGATAACTTTTGAACACTAGAGCTCGCACTGCAGAGAAGACATGAATTTGCTCTTCTAATTCACCTTGTCCTCCGCAAAGCTAGGCTGCTCATATTCTATCTTATCCATTAACAATGAAGGCAAAACAATCTGTTTTGTTAGTGTTTTCTTTCTCTGGGCTAACACTTTAGTCTTCTGTAAGGAGTTTCCTTCAGTATTTGGAAAGTGCAGAAACTCTGGGTTACAAGCTCTTCTTTAGTTCTAGTTTAGATCCCAAAAGATGATATGCTATCCCTTGAAACTAAGATTTATTTTCTTTCTGCTTCTTTTGGTGTAATGTAAGACAATATAGGTAGTATTATAGACTGCAGTCAATTTTTACCACCTGTATATGTGTGTAAGTCTTGGTTTGGATGCCCAGATGTTGTTGTATTGAAATTTTTTTTTTTTTTGTGACCGGTAAGGGGATCACAACTCTTGGCTTGGTGTCGCCCGCACTGCGCTCAGCCAGTGAGCGCACCGGCCATCCCTATATAGGATCCTAACCCACAGCGGGAGCACTGCTGTGCTCCCAGCACCACACTCTCCCGAGTGAGCCATGGGGTCGGCCCTGTATTGAAAATTCTTGAGACCAGAGGTCATAATACATCTCTTGGATCCTTACTGGCAGTTACAATAGAGTGATACTATGATTAATACTTATGATATCAATGCTTACTGTGACCAGGCTTCTTTAATAGATCTCACCCAACAGAGAAATTCCTTGAGAATATTATCACATTTAAAGAAATTTTAGGGCTGGCCAGTTAGCTCAGTTGGTTAGAGTGTGGTGCTGATAACACCAAGGTCTGGTGTTGTATCCCTGTACCAGCCAGCTGCCAAAAAATAAAAAAATAAAAAATAAAAATAAAAAAAAATATTTTGGAGAACGTTCATAACAGGTGTATATTTCTCTATTATTATAAAATTGTAGTTTTCCTTATCTTTAACATGATAACATATTTTTTCACATTAATCTGAAACTCCAGGAAGAGAAAGACCTTACTAATACAGATTGTGCATTTGTTTCTACTCTAATCATATCCTGAAAATAGTTTTGTGTTATGTATTTACTTGTGAAGATTTGTTGAACTTTCTTTTGAATATTATGACTTTCATCTTCCTGAGACCTCTGTTATGCAGCCGATATATTCCTAAAGTTTAGAAACAAAACGCCTCTCTTGTAATGCTCTCAAAAAGGCACTTTTGAAGATCCGTGTTTGTGACCCAGTCTTTACAGAGTTTGGTTTCTCTCATTGATTATTTGGTGCTGCACTTTTAGGGATATTGTCCCTGTGTGCTTAGGATACCACAGATCAAGATAAAAAAATATTCGACAGATATTTTTATATTAATTCTAGGATTTATTTTTTTCTTCTATAAGGACACAGAAACGTTTTAGTAAAACAGGCATTTCTGAATTTATATTTATTTAAAAATGAGCTATGTTTGGGAATTGGTTACTTTGAAGAAAAAATCATTTAGTATGCAACTAGACATTCTTCATTTTTGGTCTCCATTCTCACATATATTTTATCAATTTATACATTGTGCCTGGGCAATGCAGGCGACGACTCAGATTTGACTTTGAGGTGAAGAGTGACTCATATACATCATCCACCTCCTGTCCCTCTTTTGTTTTTAGGTAAAGACTGATTTTGAAACAAAGTCACATTTCCCATTTGAGTAATTTCATTTGCTATTTACTTTGGGAAACAGAGACTTTTTCCTGCTTACGTTTGAATATTGGCTGACTAAAGAAAATCTGAATTTCTAACTTTTAAAACTATATACAAGAAAAAGGTTCATTGTAATTAACAAAATAGAGAAAAATGTGATGAATAAAAGCATTCAATCCACGCATTGATGCAATTTTTGTTGTAACCTATTTATTATAGAGTTTGGTATAATTTTTTTTTAAAAAATGTTTATTATGCCATTCACTAGGACAGAGTCACAGGGTCAGTGGACTTTCTCTTTAAAGGATCAGATAGTAGCTATTTTCTACTTTGTGGACCATATATAGTCTTTGTCACAATTACTCAACTCTGCTATTGTAGCCATGGACAATACTTAAATGAGAGGTAAGGATCAGATAGTAGCTATTTTCTACTTTGTGGACCATATATAGTCTTTGTCACAATTACTTAACTCTGCTATTGTAGCCATGGACAATACTTAAATGAGAGGGCATGGCTGTGCTTCAATAAAACTTTATTTACAAAAGAGGTTTGCAGGTTGGGATGGCAGATTTGGTCTGGAGGGTTTTCCAGCCCCTATTCTAGAAGGTACGTGTCTAATGAACTATCGGGAACAAACGGAGAACAGAAAGTTGAATGATATTGGAAGGTGGTCCTGGGGTTTTGTGCCATGTCCTCATTGAGGATTGACCCTTGATTTTTCTTTGCATTTCTTGCTAAGCAATACATTATTCTCACTTTTAAGAATTCTATATCACTTCTACCTACTATAGTAGCAGAAGATTCTTTAAACTTCTTTCATGGTCAAAGAAGAGGCATGCTCAAACACTTTTTCTTTGCATTTCTTGCTAAGCAATACATTATTCTCACTTTTAAGAATTCTATATCACTCCTACCTACTATAGTAGCAGAAGATTCTTTAAACTTCTTTCATGGTCAAAGAAGAGGCATGCTCAAACACGGGATTGTTTTTTTAAATGCCATTTTCCTTTTTGCTATAGTTTTATTAAAAGAGAAATGTGAAATAGTGTTAGTGGTGATCAATATACTCTGGGGCTCCTGCTCTAGAATAGGTAATGTACATATTAATAGATAAAGTTGGTAATGAGCGGAGAGTTAAGAAATCTAGACCTAAAACATTAATGTTCATCAACTTCTCACACCTTGTTTGTGGTTAAAGAGTGAATAATAACCAATTCTTTGAAAAAATCCTAAAATCTTTCTCTTCTATTGCAGGGCAAACACAGTACTTTAAAGACTCATTTTCAGGAAAAGATGCAAATATTATGGGGTTACCCCTGGCTTTTTATTATGGGATGTATGCATATGCTGGCTGGTAAGTTGATATCTCCAGATATGGTGGTTTGTAAGGTTCATTAACTCCTTCAAGTGCTTTGATTAAGTGCCAAGCAAGGTGCTAGGCAAATGTGAGTAGCTGTAATCCGGTAAGACATGCTTTGGGAAATTTGGATGGCCCCTACACTAGGCCAATTACTGTGCATATGACTAAATGCAAATGTAACTGAGGTTTTCAATCAAGGTGACTATACATTTAGCCTTATGTCATGAAAAACAAACAAATACTCAGTGTTAAGAACCAGCACAAATCATTTATAAGTATGTATCAGTAAGGACATAATAGTGCCATAAGATATCAAAGAATAATACTTTGCTTGATAAAAGGTCTTTCAACTAAAGCTCCAAGGCTATTTACAAATAGTGATTAATTGATTTTTTTCCTCACCAATCCATGAGAAAGAGAAATCATTCAGATATGGAAATAAATGTTCCCAGGTGGTGAAATGGTACTCTAAAGGCAGGGAAGGAGAAACCAGAATAATGAATACAGCTACACTACAAAATCTTATACATTTTAAAGGACTTTACAAATTCCTTAAAATTTCCCCAACATCTGAAAACAAAAATATGCAGCAATGTCAGTGCGTCTTTCTGTGATACCTCTCATTCTGCTAAAGGCATTAGAACTTTGTATTTATGCCTTGCTTTATTCAGATACTTGTATAACAATAATCATGGATAAGAGTGGACTTTTTCCCACATAAATTTTATTGACCCGGTAAGATTTTAGTTGAAGTGACTCCTGCAAGAAAGGCCACTAGGTACAAAATTATTATTTAAACATCAAATCAAAATCATTGTAGTAAGATTAAATTTTATTGTTTTAGAGTAAATAATGATTATAATTCTTTAAAATTATTTATAGAACTAATAATTACACAGCTGTAGTATGACACTGTTCAATGACCATAAAAATAATATCAGGAAACTATACTGGCTGAAAACTTATATAAATCCATTTCTAACACAAATATAATTTCCTTTTGTTTCTTTAGTTTTTAGGTTCATACCTTCTAGGGAATGCATGGAATATAAAGATATATTTCAAAATAAATGGAGCATTTACCCTGTCATGAAAATATAGCATTAGAGGAGAATTAAGAGAGTACAGAAACTTAAAATTTTAACATGGCTTTTGAAACAAAGTATGTTTGAAGGTTGTTGGAGTGTAGCTCTGAGAAAAGTGTACAATATTTGTATATTCCCAGAATATTTTTATAGCCATTGTGTGTAAGCATTAGTTTTGAATCACTCAGTGTTTTTGAAGTCTTCTTACTTTTGTTCAAAGCACAGTGTGGTGCTAGGCAAAGAAAAGAACTGAGTGTGATCACAGGGTCAGAAGCAAAATCAACTGTTCCATGGCTTTTCAGCCTGATCAGAGCTCTGTGCCCTGGGGCTTCAGCCAAGCCACTGGGAGGCTCGCCTGAGATGCCAGAGCAAAGTGGGGAGGTGGCAAAAGCTTTCAGCCATGGCCAAGTGTTGGGAGCCTGGCAATATGCAACCAGGAATGTGGAATGTGGAGACAGTCACAAGGGAGATTTGATTAATTCTGTTGAATGAAGTTTCTTTTGCCTGTGAGAACCCTGCATCTGTTCCCACGGAATCGAAAAATATTCTTCCACCCTACTCACTCCTTCACGACCCAGAACTGAATATTCAGGTCACCTGCTGTATGGAGAGCAAATTTTCTCCACTTCTGTAGGTTTTTGAGGGCCAGTAGATTTCTCCATGTATATAGACTCTTTTCATTATGAAAAAAAATTATCTTATTAATATTTAATTTTACTGATGCTGAATCCAAAATGTGTCTGTTTACGGGATAAAAGGGTTTATGTGAATCTTTCTATACTTTTACCCATTTAAATCCTTATGTCTCCTCCCTATTTTAAAGACAAGAAACCGTTGATTTCCTTATATTCTTGAGGGTTCAATCACAATATTGAAAAATAAGTCCAGGATTTTAAATGGAATGTTATCTGATACAAGTGGCTTATGTAGGGGACAGATAAATGACTGTGTTTCTGTAACGGGCTGTTGTGCTACCTGAATGCTGCTTTGTGAAGAGGTAGAAATAATCTTCTTGTTAATCTATGGCCATCAGTCTTGAAGGAAGCTGTGTTTAGAAAAAATAGTCTCTTGGTTTAGAGTACCAAAGGAAAAGTTATTATCTGTATGTAAATAGAACAAAATGAAGGCTAAGCGAATTCCCAAAGAGAGGGACAGTATGCACTTTCCAAATGTGACCCCTGCCCTTCTGACCTCTATCTTTCAGGATATAATTGCAAGACTGAGTTGGGGAATTATAAATGGGAAAAGAGAGGGACAGTATGCACTTTCCAAATGTGACCCCTGCCCTTCTGACCTCTATCTTTCATGATATAATTGCAAGACTGAGTTGGGGAATTATAAATGGGGGACTATATATGAGCCACCATTCCTGTGCTGCTGTTATGACAATGTTTGGCAAATGAAATAAAATAAAATAAAGGTGGGGGCATTGCAAATGAGTGAGACAGAAGCAAAGCAGCTATTGTCATCCGAGCTTACTGCCCAGCCTGTTAGTGTGTAAGTTAAAGCAGCAAGAGCATTGTTGTCCTGGAGACCTTGCTCTATTAGTAGTTGGGGAAAAAAACCCAGCATCAGGCCTTGGGGAGTCTGAACAGAGTAGGCTTTTGGCTTTGAGGAGTGTAGAACCTTTCTAGAATGACGAAAACTCCTTCATAGAAACATGATTAGGAGAAAAGAAATCATTAACCCCCGCAGGTCACAGAGTTGCGTCAGTGCAATGTTAATATTACTGCAAACGTCTGTGTTCAGAGAAATATACCTGCCAATCCTGCTTGTGGCTTTTGGGAAACTCAACCAATTTCAGTCCCATGTCCTGATCCAAAGCTAAACATTATTTGATAAGATTTTTTGAAAAATGGCGTGATAGAAAAATAGTTTTGGAGTGTCCTTTTTTCTCCCTTTCAGATCCTATCCTCAATGGATTTAGTCTTTCTAAAGCACCTGCTGGGATTATTTTGTACCATTGTGTCAAATCTAATCTAAAGAACAAGCTTCTTTTTAAAATAATTCACATAGCTGGGTATTGGAATGCATTGCCAGCATTGCAGTGGCTTTTATGCACAATCATGGAAAAGCTGGAACAATAGATCTTGTGAATGTTCTCTAGAGGCCTTGAGGAGATGTAAACCAAAGAGAATACTAAGGACTTGTGGCTGGAGACTAGGAGACCATAAAGGCGGATTTCCCACAGGATGCAAATGCTTGGGCTAAAATAAGAAGCTTTCTCTTTCCTACGTCCCAACTTGTCCCAAGCCCTTTCCTTTTCTTTATTCTCTGGAGCTATGGCAAATATTTGAAATTGTGTTCTTTTTAAAATAAATATTTTCTTTCTTGCTTTAACATTGTTGAAAAAGACCAGTTTCTAAAACAACTGTTAAGAAAGAACTGGTATTTTTGACATGAGAAACCTAGAATATTTCTTAGTGTGTGTGTGATTTTTTGTTTTTGTTTTTTGCATTTTCTTCCCATACTTTCTGTTGCCCTAGGCTTATAACAAACACATCATATTTCAGATAGAAGTACTGATTGTTGCTTGCTTTCCTGGTATAACTACAAACTCTATTTTTTAGTCATTAAAAATACTTTAGTCATTAAAATTGCTTTCTAGTTATTAAAAAAAAATCCTTGGCTGCTAACTTTTTAGATCACTTTTATTGCTATGTTTTCTCAGCTTTTCAAATGTTTCTACTTAACATAGTCCTTAACATTGTAGATAACTAACCCGGAACATCAACTTGCCTACTTGTGAATTTAGATGGGGTTTTTATAAAGATGGAGCAAGACAGGTTTCCTCATCTTTGTTTTAGGTTGTGAGATACTTTAAGTACCTTAAGGGCTCAAGAACTACTATTCCAGCCATTTGGTGTTAGATTGTAGAGAATTTGTACCTATAGACCTGTGCTCCTGCGTACCTATGTAAAATGTTATTTTTACCATATAAGAAATAATAACAGAAGAGTATATTGAAAATATGACTTTTTTATTTTGTGAAAATTTTCTGAAACTATGAAATAAAGTAGAAAGGTCTTTGTCACTATGTGTTTAGCTCTTCCCAAAATGCACCCATATTTTTCCCATTTTCATGATCCAATTACCTATATATGCTTTTTCGAAGATAGAGTTTGCCCTGATATTACATTGTGCAATCTCAGGAGAAAACGATGAGGGCTTTAAAGGGACTGCAGAAGTCCATTTAGGTTGGAAAACAAAGTCAAGGATGCAGGATGGTAGACATTCCGGGTGGGATTGGTAGAATAACAAACTAAAGAAAAGGAATCTGAATTTCTCTAGGGCTGGCTTTTAGGGTAATGTTTACAAAGCTATGAAACTTGAATGTAAAATATTATGTGCTAGAATGCTTCATGTCATGTAAGAGACCCAGAAAAGTGCTCTAGACTTAGGAAATGTTCAAAATTTCATGCTCTTTAGATGTCACCATGTGGCATAATGACCAATAATGTGCCTAAAATTAATTACAGAATTGTATAAAATAGAGAAATGGTAACTTCATAGTTTTGTGACTTGAAGTTATTTGACATGCATGCTGAAAATTAGTGAACTGAAAGGAAGAAGTGTGAATTGAGAATTTATTTTTTAATTTTAATTTTTAATTNTAGTGAACTGAAAGGAAGAAGTGTGAATTGAGAATTTATTTTTTAATTTTAATTTTTAATTTTAAATAGAAAAATTATAATTGCATACATTTATGGGATACAAAGTGATGTTATGATCTATAAATACAATGTGGAATAATTAAATCAAGCTAATTAACATGTCCATTACCTCAAATACTTACCACTTTTTGTGGTAAGAACATTTGAAATTTACTCTCTTAGCAATTTCAAAATGTATAACATTATTTATAGCATTTATCCTTCTTGTGCAATGAGTTTATATCTAGGAAGCCAGTAATAGTTCCCTAAAACTGGGAAATGCTGCTGCCATACTTATATTGCATAGTAAGTTTTGATTGACTTGTCTCCACCACTAAAATTTGGATTCCCGGAGTGAAAGATCACCTTGCACTTACATTCTGTTCCCACTGCCTCTGTCACACTTGCAATGCAGAATACTAAGTCGTTGCTCATATTTCTGTACATAACCACTCTGCAACACTTGTGCTATGCTCAATCTGGCACGTCCTCACACGGCCTCACCAGAGCTAAAGGTGAAGCATTCTTGAAGGCTCAAGTTGGGCTGTGCCTCCTCTAGAAAATCTCCATTGACCTACCAGGTTGGGCTACACCTGCCCTCTGGCTCCCATGTGCTTGCTCCAGCACTGCCTCCCATATCCCACTATTTCACAGTATTCTTTGGGCCATTCTAAAAACTATGAGCTCCTTTCAGAAAAAAACTGTGGACTTTCCACTTTCATACTCTTAGTGTCTGACACATGATAAGTACTGCACAAATATGGTTTAATAGAAAAATAATTTGTGGGAGATTTTTGTGGTTGAATATTCATCTTATTAGAAGTATTTTTTACAACATTTTTGTAATTCTGCATTCAATTTTAAATATTTAAATTTTGACACTTTGGATTGCAATGGTAAAATATATTAATAGCTTATAATTCATTTATATATTTTAAGGTTTTACCTCAATTTTGTTACTGAAGAAGTGGAAAACCCTGAAAAGTAAGTAGCTGTATTTACTGTGAAATTTTTACAAGGAATAGAATTTATGATTACATAGCTGTGAAAGCAGACTTGAATTCAGTGTGGGCCAGTCAACTTTATCATCATCATCACCATTTTTATTCTCTTAGGGAGGTAAAATTTATTTGATTTTATCATAAATTATATGTAAAAAATTATATTTTCTACACTCAATACTAAATTGTCTTCTAACTTGAAAGCAGAAAAGAATGAAGTTATATTTTATAGGTAATCTATTCCTTATAAATATGTATATATAATTTAACATAGGCTCTCAGCTACACATGTATAGCTTAAACTCAAAAAGTTGATTAATTTTAATAATTAGTATAACTTTATATATATATATAATTTAACATAGGCTCTCAGCTACACATGTATAGCTTAAACTCAAAAAGTTGATTAATTTTAATAATTAGTATAACTTTTTTTCATAACTCTCCAATTAAAGAGTATAGTAATAAATGGACAACTAGTTTTGAAAGCCTAGAAATACCTGCAGAATGGTATAGGAACTTGTAAATTTTGAGAGCTAGATTATTGTTTTTACTTTTTCTCCCTAGATAATTTAATATTTATATGATTTGATGATTTATATGTTTCTAAAATGAACTAATTTAGAAAAATAAATTATTTTTATGATTTGTCTGTAAACATTTGGCTTTGTACAGAAAAACAACACTAAAATTTTGAGGCAAAAGAGGGAAAATTTAAGAAGTGTAGTATAAAATATAGACTAAACTATAAAGTTGCTTAATTCATCTCATTTTTATTAAAGATCTGCTATGTTGTAACCATTGGGCTAGGAACATCTTACATGGTGAATAAGACTTGTCTTCAAGTATTTTACTGTTTAATCAGTAAGTCAAACGTATAAACAAATAAATGTAACACTATGATCGACACCATAATAGATTATTTACTCAGTTTGGCAGAGAGAAAAAGAGGAATACTTAATTCTTTCTGGGGAGGTGTTGCTTATATTAAGTCTCAAATGATGAATAAGCGTTCCCTAGGTAAATATGAGAGAGAGAGAGAGAGAGAGAGAGAGAGAGAGAGAGAGAGAGAGAGAGAGAGAGTAAAAATAAAACAAATAAAAATAAATATAAATAAAAATTAAAAAGTAATAAAACATTAAATGCTTTTAATTTGATATATCATTTTAAGGTCTTTTAAAAATTTTGTTTGTTTGTTTGTTTTGTGGTTGGCCAGTAAGGGGATCTGAACCCTTTGCTGTTATCAGCACCATGCTCTTACCAAGTGAGCTAACCAGCCAACTCTTAAGGTCTAAAAATAAGGAACTTCTCAGAAGAGACTAAGAATTGATTTTTGAAGTCAATGTTATGACTAATTGCTAAAACTTAAGTTGAAGAAAGAAACCTCTGATACCTTTTTGTTCTTTCACATGAAGTAGTTGGATATTCAATTTTTACATGGAGGACTCTGTGTAAAACTTAGCCAACACATTTATTTTCTCAAAATTAAAATATGGGAGATCCACAAAATCCCTTAATGTACAGTAAACTGTTAATGTTATGTTATGTATTTTTCAACCAAAGAACTCAGGATTTTGAACAATTTAGTCAAAGTCCTAATTTTTTAAATAACATTCCCCTGTAGTGTTGACAATAAGTTGAGGTCTTTTAAAACGGAATTTTATTTTTTAAACACAGAGACTGCTTTGAGAAAATATTTGAATATCAAGAACAGCTGGTAAAATTATGTGGATCTAGTCCAGATGTATAATTTGTATTATTTTGTAGGTAGATTCAGCTCCAAAATACCTTTAGTTACAAGGGAGAATAATTATGATTCCATCTACTTTGTGATGTGCCAAGATAAATGTGTTTCCCAATCAGTCATGGGTGCATGTGTCCAGGTGTGCTGTAACATGCAACTTTCTGGCAGCTGGTGAAATGAATCATTAGCCAAAGATACTACACCTTTTACTATCCTCCTCCATCTAGGCAATAAAATTTTTCTAAAATTGTGACCTAATGGAAAAGGTGATAATTAATTTAGATCACTAAAAATAGCAATGTGATTTAAAATACGTAGAATGCAGAGTAAGATTTCATGATTTCAATTGACTACCCTTTGCATGTAGTTTCATTTCAAGAAATCTTTCAAATTACCTAAATTACCTATGAAATAATTTCTGACCTGCTATTTTAAGCATGCCTTATAGAACAGTTCCTTAAATGTTGTAACAAGTGAGAGATAAACTTGGGCAAAATTCATGTTTATATGATTACATTTATAATGTTAAGATATTTTCCCAGGATCTTCCTTGCAATGTTTTCTTCTCCAAGAGAGCTTTGGATTTATGGAAGTAGCAATCTTTCAAATGCAATGGTTACATTGAACTTTTGTAATGATAGAAGAATATTGCCTTTAATTTTATCATGGTGGCTGGTTCCATAAATAAATGTATTAGAATAAGAATGGTACATTGAGGGACATGAATATGCAAAGTTTGGACCACAAAGGGAATTGGATCCCAAAGACTGGATTAGGGAGAAATTGGCAGAGGGCCACAACAAATGTTTATATTGTGTAATGATAAAAAAATGTTATTGTCCCCCCAAATGGGATGTGTAGTAATAATTGCTAATGTATGCATTTGTTTTTAAAAATCAAAGCGTTTTTGCAAATATAATGAATTTTGCCGTATGACATTACTTTTGTGGGGACTATGCAATTTGTCATTGTTCAAAGAGTTACACAGTGCAAAGAATATGTTATTGAGATGTACAATGTTTGTAATCCTGCTCTTAGATTGATAAATCATGTCTTGTGTTGATGAAAGCAAAGAAATGAATTGCTTTGCTTTGACCTTGGGGGTCTGAGATTAGTCTTTTTGTCCATCAGTCTTGTTCCAGTGTTCTTCTCACTTCATTTATTCTCTCTGTTCTGAAGAGCTGAAAATAGTAGACTTAGAGGAAGTCAGTAAAGCTTGATATCATCAGTCATTTTTGAAGAACAGGCTGTCAACATGCTCTGAATACTCAACTTCAATAGAAGATTTAAATAATCAGAGTGTCAAGTTTAATGAATACTTTGCCTACTTGAGGAAGTCAGTAAAGCTTGATATCATCAGTCATTTTTGAAGAACAGGCTGTCAACATGCTCTGAATATTCAACTTCAATAGAAGATTTAAATAATCAGAGTGTCAAGTTTAATGAATACTTTGCCTACTTCTAATATATATTAATTGATGCCTCAAAGACATCACACCTTGTACCAGTGATGACTTAGACGAACAGAGGCTTGGTTTGGGAAAAATGTCCAGAGACCTTTAAGGCAGTTTGAATGATCAGATCGGTCTATGAATTGTTCACAAACATTCACATTATTGCCTTTCAGTTTAGATGTTGCAGTCTTAAAAAATTTTAGAATATGTATTTTAATTCCTTATTGACTGTTTAATTCCTGATTATCCTATTTTAAAAGGCCTATTACTTATAGGACATATAACACTGTTAACCTGACTAAAAACACAGCAAAATAAAACAAAAATATCTTGCCTAAATATGTTGTAGCAAAGTTGTATAACAAACGACTAAAGGTTAATTTGAAGTCTTTTATCTTGCATTTTGGTATTTTAAGGATGCAGCTTTCTATGAGAGACAAATCTTTCTCTTTGTATGCTTTATAGCTTTCTAATTTAATAGTTGCCAGAAAACAGCAGTTAATGTCGAATATGCTTGTATAAGTGCAGATTACATCAATATTTTATTTTGTGATTTTTTTCAAATTTCAAGATAATGTTGTCTACATTCTTAGAATATTTCTAAAGTTTCTATTTCGAATACTCAAGTGATATATGTTCTTAGGGGATGTAAACTAATTTTCATAGAAAGTTACCTCACTATAAATAGATATATATATAGAAAAATCTGAATTGTTAGAGAGATTTAATTTATAAAAGAGTTTGACAAATGAATCTCTTGAAAAATGTTAAATTGTGAAATTGAACTTACATCCAAGCTTGCAAAGACTTTCCCTTTGACAAAATGAGGCATCTCTTTATTAATGACAGGAAGGCATCATTAGAATTATCTTAAAATGTGGCACTGCTTCTCTTCAACTGTTGAAATAATTGATACCCCAGTTAAAATTATTCTATCTTGTGCTTTTCTTCTGATAATATACATAAAGTTTGGTAAATCTGTTTTTAAATATGCTTCATAGTAGGAGTATAATTATACTGGTTGAGTCACTGAGGCAGACAAAAGGTTAATATTTGTCCAGATGTCACAGAAAATAGATGATTCTATGATAAGAGAATAAGGTCACTAAGTTGCTCTTCCTTGTCTTTGCTCAGTCTAAAAATTTCTCACTAATGGAACATGTAGTTGATGTACCTTGGGATCAAAATTGTTGCATTTCTCAGCTTCACATATGCATAAAAAATACATTTGGCTCAAAGACAGTTTGCTCATGTAAGGCTGAAGTGTCAAATAAGTGGTGCAGAAATTACAGGATTATATTATAATATTTTATCATGGGGTAATCAAAGAAGACAGATATTAATCCTTCAAGTGCTTTGTGGAAGCCATCTAGGTTTTTTAAAAAATTTTTAAAGATTCCAACCCCACTATGAAGCAAAATTTGAAAGGCAATGCTTTTGAATGCTTTATTTCCTTTCATATTAGTTGTTTCTAAGTTCTATTTTTTAAAAATCTTATTGAAGCTTATATTTTGAGTGTAGAATAATAAACTCATGTTTTAGGAGCAATAACAGTAGCAGATTTAATTTTACCCTATGTTTCTGTTTGGTTTAGCTAGCCCAAAACAAGATGCCACAGTGTGATGATCATTTGATAGAATCACAGAATTTAAGAATTAGAAGGGATCTTGGGGATCATCTAACTTAGTTTTTCACCGGAATCAAAAATCTGTTCTATAATATCTTTAAGCACCAATAATTCATATATGATAACATGAGAAACTGGCTATAACTTCCTTACATTGG